CCAAACTGCTCATCTGCAAAAATTGAGTTCGTATTGATGTGAAGCATCATTCAATTTAAAATTATCTTTTCAGAAAGTTTACTTATTGAAGAAAGCAATTTTATTGGACGGCAGCTAGAAGCTTCAGCTGGATTTTTATCTGGCTTCAAACTTTTACATTTTCCCGTTGATCAGGAAAGTATGCCAAATGGAAACATCTGTTAAATAATTTTACCAAGAAAGACAAGGTACTCTCTAGGAGTTTTTTGATGAGGATATAGAAAACTCCATCATCACCTGGAGCTTTCATACTATGAAACTTTTTAGTTATAGACCTTACTTCGTCCAAATCAGTCCCCCAGGAATCATTAAAAATATTTTCCCGAGAGAAAATATTCAGATAATCTCGAGCAACCTGATTCTCAATAGGACTAGTAATTTGGGTCTTACTAGTCCTATTGAGAAAATGAAATTATGGGAACTCTGAGGAACTTTCGTTCCTCAGGGCAGAGAATCGCTTTTTAATTTGTTTTTGCAAATCCCGCCAGATAACTTTCATGGCAGGATCGCGTGTTCTTTGATATTGTCTCCTACGGACATTTTTAAGACAGATCAAGAGCTGAAGATCGGCGTCTATTATAATTGAATCGAATTTAACCTCGCATTTTGGTACCGAGGCAGCTCTTGCTTCAATTATAGAAATAGTCAGACATTCAAGAGCATAATTAATTTCATCTTTGGTTTGCAAAGGAATGTTTGGATCGAAGTTATATTCCATAAATGTCCGATATTGCTCCCAATCAGCTCTATGGTAATTGAAAGTAGAGCTGTTGGGATTGGAAATTATTTCTTGAGATATTTCAAAAGTTACTGGAAGGTGTTCAGAACCAAAGTCAGCATGGGTAACCAATTGGCTACAAAGTTGACCTGAATCAGTTAAGACCAAATCAATAGTTGAGGGATTTCTTGCAGAAGAAAAGCATGTTGGGCGGTTTGGATATTGAATAGTGTAATAACCTGATAAAATAATCATCAAACAGAATATTACCATTGGAATTGCTTTGAGCATTATTCTATGAGCGGTGTTTTGCATTAAAATCACCAATAATGAAGAATTTAGAAGGTCACCCTTGAGAATATTATTTTGCTGGCCTACGCATTGGCATGTCAAATAGGTAGCCATAAACGTAAGTTGTCAACAGAAACTCCCAAAGTTTCAAAAACTTCGATTTCAAATGAAGAAAGAATTTTATGTTTGATTCGTCTATGAACAATGATGGCAACGCCACCACAGGCTCCATCAAGACGATCATTTCTATAAATGAAATAATTTGCGTCCGTCCTAACCTTACGGTCAGGTTTAAGGAACGTTTCAGTTATTACGGCAATAAAGGGTGATACGGTCAAAATTTGGTCAAGGGAAAACGCGTGTAAATCGGTGAAATCGTTTATTTAAAAAATCAAATTAAATTTCTTTTTCAAGTTCAATTAGTATAAAATTCAGGAAAAATATTCAGTTAGGCTTCCGTTTTTCCAAATCCGAATTGCCGGGCCTTACGCTTGACCCCTGCCATCAGATTTGGTACAGCCACCTAGTTCACCTTCTTCGCCGCAGAAAGCCAGTTTGCCTTGAACTGCTGCTCGCCCTTAGCAGTTTTTTGGTCTTCTTTAGGTTCCGCTTGACAATAGCCCAGTATTTCTCAATTGGGCGGAGCTCTGGCGTGTTGGGAGGGTTCTTGTCCTTGGGAACCACCTGCACGTTGTTGGCGGCGTAACACTCCATGGCCTTTTTACCGTAATGGCAAGATGCCAAATCCGGCCAAAACAGTACGGAACAACCGTGTTTCTTCAGGAAAGGCAGCAGACGTTTATTCAAACACTCTTTCACGTAAATTTCTTGGTTGACAGTCCCGGAAGCTATAAAAATGCTGCTTTTCAAGCCACAGGTACCAGCCACAGGCTTGCCAAACCAGATATTTCTTTGCGAACTTTGACAGTTTCATGTGCTTGAAAACATCTGCTACCTTTCCCCTTCCTTTTGCCGTATAAAACTCCTGTCCCGGAAGCTGCTTGTAGTCGGCTTTGACGTAGGTTTCGTCGTCCATTACCACGCAGTCAAACTTCGTCAGCATCGTCGTGTACAGCCTCCGGGATCGCGCTTTGGCCGTCGTATTTTGTTTATCATCGCGATTTGGAGTCACTACCTTCTTGTAAGTCGATAGTCCGGCTCGTTTTTTGGCTCGATGCACGGTTGTAGACGATACACCCAGCTTATTTGCGGCATCTCGGAGAGAGAGGTTAGGGTTTCGCTTGAAACTACCGGCAACTCTCTTTGTCGTCTCAGTGGCTTCCGGTTTTCGATTTCCCCCCGATCCAGACTTCCTGGCTGTCGACAAACGTTCCCCAAACACTTTAATTACATTTGTAACGGTTGATTTGGCAACTTTTAGCGATTTTGCCAACTTTGCGTGCGAGTAGCTCGGATTTTCGCGATGCGCGAGCAAAATTTTGATACGCTGCTCTTCTTGCTTGGACGGCATTTTGACAACTGAAGAGTGAATTCCAAAATCAAAATAGGAGCAACATTCTACACACACACACCTTCAAAATGAGGGGTGTTCAGGTTTTTTAAATGCAAAATTGAAAGAAATACGTCAAGTTGATATTGACCAAATTTTGACCGTATCACCCTTTATGCACGTTATGAACTCTCAAAAAGTTAAATAGCTCGTCTTCATTATCTTTAAGAGATCAAGCATTCCAATTTAAAATATTTAATGCTTTAAAATCCATTACTGCATTTCGCGGGGCGACCCCGGCGTAGTGGTTAACATCCATACCTCTCACGCCAAAGTTACGAGTTCAAATCTCACCCCCGGACAAGTCGCGAATGACCCAATAGTGTTAAAGTGACAATAATAAAAAAAAAAAAAAAAAAAATCTGCATTTCAAAGTCATGACAATATTGTTTGCAAATTTTACTCCAGTTTGAATAGCATCAAACATGGAGTTAGATTTAAGCATATCAGAAATCATGTCAATTAATGATTTCTGAAAAAAATCTATTTAAGGGGCAGTAATGCTTCCTAAGTCAAAAATGTCAAAATGTCCGTTAGAATTACGTTGGTTAGTATTTTGATTTCCACCCGCATACGAACATTGTTAGCAGCGAGGGGAGTAGGTATAGATGAAAAATTTGAATCAGGGGTGATATTTGTACCTACGGGTACGAATGTAAAATTTGTTCCTCGCTGACCGTTGTTAATAGCAGAGGAACTTGTACCTGGTTGGAAACGTGGAGCGTTTTCTACCCGACGCTTAGAACGAAATTTTTCACTAGACTTGAAGACGAAATAAAAATCATTAAAATCCCGTTGCGCGAATCGCCAGGACGGGATTTCATTTTCATTTTGATTACTTAGAGTGCGACAACTCCAAGTAATTTTGCCAGTTCATATTTGATCTGATCCAGGAATTCACCACTGGGCACCCGTTCAGTTTTGGTGTCGTAAGTAAAAAATTTGTGCTGCTTCTCAGTAAGATACTTGAGAAGACGTTTAAATCCGTCCAAGGTTTCAGCCAATACACGGAATTCACCCCGACGTCCAATTTGTAGTGAAAACTTAACTTTCACGAAGTTCAAAAGTTCCATGCGAAGAGCATGGAATTCGGAAGTTGTTTTCGCAATAGGGGAAATCGTTTCCTTCTTGGCATTAAGACGGGAAAGTTTACTAGAATTTTTCTTGGATGATGGATCATTCTCATCATCCGTGAGCAAATCAAATTGATTGCTCAAATTAATTTAATCAGAAGGGGGATGAAGAGTTTACCCTTATCTTTTGCGCTTAGGCACCATGGCGGCAGTAAATTTTTATCCAAATCGACTTCCAATCAGATTACTATAAGAATCTGAAGGATCGAAGAGGAATTTTCCAAATCGATATCCAAGAAGGATTACCTCGGGTAGGGTTCAAACAAGGATCGAAGAGGAATAAGAGTTGAAAAGGAAGAAATTTTGCAGGTTGAGCACTGAAAAGTGCTGTTTAACTTTGTTGTAGCTTTAGATAGTAGTAACACTTCCTTCATCAAAAAGCAAATTGATCCGCACGGCAAGAAAGCACGATGCGGACTGAACTACACCGTATTAATAATACCTTAGGTACTAGGTTGAAAATTCAAATTGCACTTTAACAGGGATTATTCTTTTTTTTTTGATACTTTTTTACTCGAGAACACATTACAATCAAATTTCATAAAAAAATAATCGATTTGTAGTTTTGGTCAACTCTTCGGGTCAAATACTCTATGTGGAGTGGCGGTAAAATTCACGTATTGAACAATTGGAATATGGTGGCTACACTTTGAGTATTCGTTATCCCTGGGTGTGTGTCTTTCTTTTCGTCTATGTTACTTTATAATTACAAAGAAAGAAAGGCTAGCACATTTTAAGTTTAACTGTATTTAACTTTGTGGATTTCAGAATGAACTCATGGCGTGTAGAGTTATCAGATATCTCTTAAAAGAGCAATGACGTGAGTTAATAAAATGCCCTGAAGTGCGTCGCAATCAACGAACGATTGTTACAACATTTTTCAATCAATAAATGTCACTATTGGTAACTTTTTTTAAAATCACTATTTTTGTCATTTTAGTCCCCAAAGCACTACTATTATGTCACATACCACTGCTGATAGAATTTACACTCGTTCGGCAACCTGTTAGTAACCGATGGTGATTATTCTGTTTGAATAGATTTTTCCATAACAACTCAAATTTCTGCCGTTGAAACACTGAGAAGTCAATTAGCAAAAAATTCCATTAATCGTTAAAAATTCCCATAATGCATACAACTTCCATTGCGCCACGAAATCGGCACCCATTTTCCACTGACTCTTCGCCAAACGTTGCCGTGTGCCGCCAACACAGCCAGATTTGATCCGCAACTCGAAACATTTTCCCCGTAGGAACAATATGAAAATATGCTCTCATATTTCACATCTGAACCAATATCCCCCCCTTAGGCAATTGTCAACTTTCAACGACCGGAAAAAGTTTGAAAACGACGATTAAGCGCCAGGCTATGCGGTATATGCGTGTGTGAAAACGAGTTTACTCCGATATAATAATAATGATAAAGAAGTGAAGTGAAAATCCAACGCACCAGCAGCAGCAACAGCACGTGCTACACGGCACCCTTCACCCTCCCTTCCCATCGTCAGTCAAAACAAGAAAAGCGAAGGAGGAAGCCCATCTCATAATGAAGAGGAGAAAATTAATGAATCGAAAATTATGAAATCCAATAATAATAAATTATGTGAAGCAGCCTGGCGCAAAGAATCTATTACAGTGAATTTATTTTCTCGGAAGGCAGAAAGTAGCCTGTGAACAACAAAGTGGCTGAACGGGAAATCGGAGTGGAAGAAAACAGCAAAAGTTGTTGGAAGTCAGAATATCAACAAGGCTTCTGCTTCGGCTGCCCGAGGGGTGGCAGGATGTGGGTGGCCACTGCTGTGGTTCCCGGTGGTCGAGAACGATGGGTCCGACACCAGAAGAACCGCCCAGCAAACCGCTCTCGTTGTTGTTGGTCCGGCGTGTAGAAGAGAATGTCTGAAAGTGCTCGTGGGAAAAATATGAAACGGCTCGGAGTTCGACGAACTTGCGTGGAAATTCTCCTGGGGTTGGGAAGCCGCAGATGAAAAGCAGGAAAATAGGCCTATTGGATTGGGGTCTACGACGGCGGGAGTAACGAAATTGATAACTGCCGCCTTTTATTTTGCTGCTACGGCCCCTATAATTGTGTTGCAAACGAGACGTTGAAAACATGGCAGAAGAAACTTTCCCGGGGAAAATTGCAGCAGATAATCGTGCATTCAAGCAGTAAATGGTTTTAACACGGTGTGAGCAAGGGAGTGCAAAAAAACCGAAACAGTGAACAAAAAGCTTAAAAGTCTTAAAAGTGAGAACCTGTTGGGAGAGTGAAATGTGTAATTTGAAAAGTAAAATAAACTCCCACCGATAGTGAAATGCAGAAATCGTGTTGAGAAAAATTGCTTTTCAGGATTTCATTCGACTACGGTAGCGTGAGTTGAGTAGAGGAAATCAGCAAATCTGAATTTCTTCCACCGAAAAGGATATCACAGTCAATTGTTCTTCCATTCTGTTCGCGAAGCACGCAACTAGCCCTTTTTGTCCATCGTTCTCTCAAAAAGCCAATATACAAATTCACCCCAATATGTCACTCCGGTGACACTTGACAGAGGTAAAACTTTAATTTAATCACACCATTATTTCGTTTCTTTTCTTTTTCCATGACCTGGGGTACAATCTCAATTCCTCCCGTTCTCGAACGCCAACAATAATCTTAAAAATTGTTCATTTTTCTATTCTCTCCAAATCCTTCACGAACTTGTTGACTCGCACGCCAGCAGCCCTAAGCCCTCTGCGAAATACTGTGGAAAGGTGTACTGGAAAAGTGTCAGCGTGACAGCGAGCCTTCGTGCGAGATAAGAAAAGTATACAGGACAAGCCTCCCACGACACAACAAAAAAATATTAAAACACAAACACACTTACACACGTACATCAAAAGGTGGAAAAGCACCCACAAAATACGGAACAAATAAGGCGGCGAGAGGGAGAGAGAGAGGAGAAAGAAAGGAAGCAATAAAATAATTAGCGCGCGGGGGAATTGAGACATGGGGCTGCAGGCGGCCTCGTGTGCCGCGTTACTGACAGCCATCGCTAGCGTCCTGCTCCTAGCGCGGATACCGCAATGTGCACTAGCGTCACGTAAGTACAAACCTGATGATCATTTTTTCTACATTTATTTTTTTGGTTAACGTTTCGTTTGCGTTGGGGCATATCCATTCTCCACACTCGCTCAGGCGGGCGGGCGTTTGCGACAGAAGACACGCACGCACAGATGGCAGTGATAATGTGGAGTGTATCAGCAACTATTTCCTCCATACGGTGTGATACGGTGTGTGATAATTAGTTCGAATAAGGGATGCTAATGTGCACTCAATTTCGGTTCAAATGGATATTTGCCGGGTACTTTTCCTGGTGGGAAAGGATGTGAATATTTTGGGAGGTTTTTAATTACTCAGAATAATTTGGCAGGGGTTAGATCTAATTTTCGGTAGGACCCTCTTTTACTGTCGAACGGATGTTAAGATAAATGGATTTTTTTTTTCAATAGATGGCTACTCAATTTATTTACCTTTGTATACAGTTCTATTTGATAAAGAGCCACAAATTGATGACATTTTATTAAAAATACAACACTGCTTCTTGATTCCCAATTCGGCCTACGGGTTTCAATTTCGTACAAACACATAGAAAAGTCACTGGATTTGAGAACAAAGGGTTTTCTTCTTTTTTTTATCTAGTTCGTTTTTTTGGAAGGCCCAATCGCGTTAGCTTTACGGAGTCGATGATTGTTTTTTGTTTGTAACACAATTTACTTAATTCTATATATATTAGGAGTAGGGCCGAATACTCGTGGCTTACCCTAGGTTAGAGGGGTACATTGTCGAACGATAGGATCAGGGGAGGAGCTTCGAGATGGGGTTTCGTTTTCGCCTGTATGAACGTTAGTGCTGATCTAGATTCGTCTGGAGTTCGACTGGCTATGGCACCCCGGGAGCTACTGGACAGCTCCAGTGAAATGTCAATGTACCCATAAAATTCTGGTACTCTGGTTCTGTCAAATCGAATAATGGTGGAGTAAATTTAATTGGTCTCATTTTTGATGAACTCTTTTTTCACGTGTTTGAGTTTTTTGTTTTCTTAACTTTTTATAAAAATATTGACATTTCTTCTAGACGTCTTCCAATCGACTCAGCTTGACGGGATAAGAATAGGTGTGTCTGTGTATGTGTGTGTGGGAGTACGTAGCATAATTTTCTTAAACGTATTTCTTGGCAACCACTCTCGAAATGAACGCAGCAACCACAAAATGAAAGGTACATGATTCTAAAGAATGTTGATTAATATATTTTCAATCGATTTACTCAGTTGTGCTTTTGCCATAAAGCTGTAACAGATTTTCTGAGCCCTAAATTAATTTAAAATTTTGATTTTCGAGATTTCGAAAGATTTACAAAGTCTCAGTAAGACTTAAGAAGTTTTCCGAGCAACAGATTTATGAAAATTATCCGAGATGCTATGCTGAAGGCCTTTGAGCTGAATGTTCAATTTTGGAAAGTGAAAGATTGTAGCAAGAAAGGTTTTTTCCTTGATTTGTTTCCTTTTTTCTTGATTTTGTTTTCCGTCGATCTTGTTTTCCGTCGATCTTGTTTTCCGTGCTGAGCTCCCACACCTGGACCCTACCTATCGACACATCAACTCATGCACCGGGACCAACGGCTTTACTTCCCTTCCGAAGGATGATGAGAGATGTTATGCCTCAGAGATCAGAGATGTTATGCCTCAGAACATCCTGGCGGCGCCGGTTGCGATTGAACCCAGACCTGCTGGGTGAGAGGTAATCACGCTTACCGTTACATCACCGGCGCCGCTATAGTAAAAAATATTTTTTTGAGTTTTGAGCTTGAAAATAAACTTGGGATCTGTCATGAACTTGGATAAACTTACCGGATGCAAATACAAAGGAATTTCAATGAGAGTTGGGATGATTCAAAAGTTATTCCAAAGGCAACTCCAAGGTAATTCTGGAAAGTATTCTTCCAGGAATTCCGAAGAGTGTCGAAAGTAGTTCCGAAAAGAAATTCAATGGCGTTGTGTGGAAAGGCTAAGGTACTTTCATTGGATAATTTAAAAATAGTTATAAGAAGAATTACATGGTCATTCTGAAGAGAATTCCTCGGGGATTGTGAGAATATTTCCAGAAAAATTTCAAATAATCTCTGAGAAAAACTCATAGAGTATTCAGAGGATAGTTCTAAAAAAATATCAAAAACTCCACAACTCCAAGTAAATTATGACAAGAGTTCCAAAGCAATGCTAACAAGAACTTCTTAGAAGTTGATTCGATTTCAAAGGAATCCTTGTAAAACTGTTAAATGTTTTAAAGCGTCAAGAAAGTGGTAGTTTTGAGTTAATTTCCATGGAAGATCAAACTAACAACACGATAGGATAGTGTCCTGGGAGTTTTGAGGAGAACTCAACACAATATATCGGAGTTTTGTGAAAATTCGAACGGTATTTATAACGGAATTCGATGGTACTTTTGATGGAAACACTGAAAAAAATAGAGGAATTTTGAAAATAATTCTAAAGATAAAAATGAAGAAGTTCTGATGAGCCTAATGAGCGTTTTCTCTGTATGATTGAAATTCTTTTTTGGGATGAGTAAGGCCGCAATCATTCAACCGAAACGTCAAGAATGTAAAAATCCAACCGTTTCTTCATAAGACTGAGAAAGCCACCCCAAAAAGCAGTTCAAAAATTCCAAGTTCATCCTGAAAAGAGTCCCAAAATAATTTTGATCAGAAATCCAACGGAATCACGATCTGATAATAGTTTCAAAGAATTCTAAGATCCTGGCAGAGTGAATTCGAGAAGCCGAGCTGACCAGAAAAAAGAATAATAATTATTAATAAGATCTTTTTTCCACTCGGCTCTTGCATTCACTCTGCCAGGCGCCTAAGGCGAATTTCAATTCAGAGGATAGTTTCTCGCGAATCACGAGTAAGATTCCAAGGTACTTCTAAGGACAATATCAAAGAACTTCAGGAAACATTCCATGGAATCAACAGTTCTGTGGACAATTTTATGTTAATTCTGGGTATAATGACTATTGTGGAATAGCAAAACACATGAAGCATCTTTGAAATGTTTTGTTAGCCTGTGGACATATATTCCACAGTCTGAGAGTATTATACAAATTTAGAACCGGTCAACTATTTCCGGAGATATGGGCGGGATAGGTTCCAAAAACATGGAGTTTGGGAACTATGTCGTATTAATCGGTAACAACTAATGCGAATTGCACGCAAAAACCAATTTAGGAATTTAATTCTTATACTAGATATTTGCAGAAAGACATAAATCGACTGCATATAGCAGAGATCAGAGATACGACATATCACAATCACGATCGTCAAACAGCTGATGGTAGTAACGCTTAGTACATTCCTATTAATGTGCTTGTCGAAGCACTCTCCATGACCATCCATCAAGTTTACGAAAGAAGTAAAAAGCAACTGGTGAATGTCGTCTTCGGTGTTTATCCATCACCGATCATGTCATTCCCGACAATTGGCAAATCAAAGCTGGCACTCGTGGAGAATAGGAGAACTATGAGAGTGATGATGGTTTCAAAATTTTACACGGGGAGGTATACGAGTGCAATCTTAAAAGGCTTTTATTTTGCAAATGGAGCATTTTATTTAAATCTGGTTGCTGCTACAGTGGTAGAAAAGCTGAAATCTATGTATGCACCTAGAAATCTGAAAATAAATGATTTTGTCTATATTATATATCTATTGAGTAGTCCTCAAGTTTTCTACTAACGTAGCACTAACCAGATTTAAATAAAATGCTCCATTTGCAAAATAAAAGTATTTTAAGATTGCACTCGTATACCTCACCGAGTAAAATTTTGAAACCATCATCACTCTCATAGTTCTTCTATTCTCCACGAGTGCCAACTTTGATTTGCCAATCACGTCACTCATTTGTGCTCGTTTTGAAGCAGTTGCTGCTTTGCTTGCTTATGTGAGTGTGTTGGTGAGTGAGCTCAACAGCTTCCGTTTAATTTTGCCAGCTTTGCTTGTAACTCACACAGTCCCGCGTGCCGAGTCGAACTTGGAATGCGTAGGCATTGTTTTCATTTTCTTCTGTCGTTTCCCTTTTTCTAATCATCGTACTGCAGAAGTCTTCACTGTTTTCATATTTCATTATGCTTTACATCATCAGCAGCGAGTGTTACGTTTTGCCTATGAGCAGCTATCATGTGTTGACGAGTGTCGAGTGAGTGTCATGATATTTTGCATGTCTGGCAAAGATCGCGGGTTGCCAACACCGAGGCCAGTGGATCCACTGAAACGAGACCCGTCTGTAAATTATATGTTCACGCAATTGACGTATTGATACTTTTCAGTTAAAATACGCGAGAAAATAATAGGTCAAAGTTGATTGGGAATCCCATGAGTTGCTTTGTTCTTGATCAGATCTCTTCTTTTTTTTTTTTTTTTTGTAGTGATCCAGTGGCAGCACTTGCTTAAACTCTACACTGGACCCCTTTTATTGATAAATTTTGCTTCTATGAGCCTCTATTTTAAATCAACACACAGACGTTCCTAGGCTATGGTGCCCGTATGGTCACTGTTGTTTTTGTGCTGATCCAAATAGTTTTGATAATATAATTGCGCATTCTTTTTTTTAAAGGTTGATTTTTGTCCCAGTCTTGTCTTCTGTCGTCACTTATTTTGTCATTTTGTCTTGTGTATTAACCCCCACTTGTCTTGTTGTCAATTACAGGATAATATGGTTGTTTCTCAATTACTTTTTCAAAGGGAAGCACCAGCTCCTGCAAACAATGCATCCGATCGTCGACCCGGCGCAACCGGCAGCTCGCGCACGCCTACCAACACCACTACCAGGTAGAGGAAAATTTCCCTATCTGATGATAGTGCTAGCATGCGTGGGCGAGCCACCAGCTACGCCAAATCGACGACCAAACGCACCGCCTACAAAAGCCGATACGCTCCCTTGAAAAAGTTATCGAGATTTCTACTAATTAATGAATTATTTTAATTTTTGATTTAACTTACCACTTTTTGATTATTTATCAAATACCTCACCGAGTATATAACGCCCCGATG